AAGGAGACTGAGGGAGAGATGGGAGGGAGAAAACTGAGTGTGGGATGGGAGAAAAAAATGAGGGAGGGATGGGAGGAAAGAAAACAGGGGGGGAGAGGGGGGACGACATACACACAGCACCCCTGCCCTACACATATCACCCCACAAAAAGACACACACACACACATCACCCCCCCACACACCACCCCCCACACACACACCACCCCACACACATCACCCCACCCACACACATCACTCCACACACATCACCCCACCCACACACATCACCTCCCCCACACACACATCACCCCACACACAAACACATACACTGTACCCCTCAATGCAGTGTGTGTACACTCAGCAGTCTGTCTGTGTGTGTACACTCAGCAGTCTGTCTGTGTGTGTGTGTACACTCAGCAGTCTGTCTGTGTGTGTACACACTCAGCAGTCTGTCTGTGTGTGTACACTCAGCAGTCTCTGTGTGTGTACACTCAGCAGTCTGTGTGTGTGTGTGTGTGTGTGTGTATTTAGCAGTCTGTGTGTGTGTGTATTTAGCAGTCTGTGTGTGTGTATTTAGCAGTCTGTGTGTGTGTGTGTGTGTGTATTTAGCAGTCTGTGTGTGTATTCAGCAGACTGTGTACTCAGCAGTCTGCTAACAGACAGACTGCTAAGTACACAGACAGACTGCTAAATACACAGACAGACTGCTAAATACACATACAGACAGACTGCCGAGCACACACACAAACTGCTTAATACACACACAGAGATGTTAATTAGTTCGGACAACTGTATGAGTTGTTTTATTCTAAACTTAAACCTCAGTATTCAGGTTTAAATGCCGTTTTGGCACTTTGAGGGAAAAAAATTGGCATGTATTACGGTTTGGGCACTCGGGCTCAAAAAGGTTCGCCATCACTGGTCTAGGATTAGATTGACTGTGAAATGCTATTCTTTAAAAAGCTAGAGGAGAGAACAAAAACAGATGTAGAGACACCTAAGGGTTAAGTAAATCAATCAGTCCCAAAAGGTTCACTACACATGTAAAGCAACCCATTAGAAAAAATATAACATAAAATATAACTTTTAATAGAATACCATCTAAAATCAATAACTAAGTGTTGGGAACAAACAAATCCCTAATAGTAGATAATAAATCAACATAGGAGAGAAAGAGAGCTCGAGGCAGAATAGTGGCACAGAGAGAGAGAGGATTCCTAGTGGATCAAACTGAATCCAAATGTAGCAATATTGAAGTAAAGTGTTAAGAAAAACTAACTCTCTGTGAGCAGCCTAGTCCTATAACTCATTTCTCTCAATAATCTAAAGCCTACAATAGCTATTAACATATAACAAAATAGCCTCAATAGGAGGATAGCAAAATAAAGGTATTCGTCTAGTAGCTAGAAAAATGGAGAGGGTAGTCTAAACGGAGCATAATGTTACAATTGCTGCAGCGTAGTCCCTAGTCTGGCTCCAACCACCCGCTCACTACACTAATCCCGACGCGCGTTTCACCACACTGGCTCTTCCAAGGGAACCGAGCTGAACGCCGGCGGTCGTTTAAAAAGGCCGCTCTCTACAATGATTGGTCTATGTTACACCAATCACAAACGAGGGGGCGGAGAAAACTATCGGTGCCGGTTGGCCACTGATCAGTGGTAAAACCGGCACGGATTGAAAAAATGTGATAATTGGATGTCTATGCTAGAGTCAATCCACATGAAGTTAAAGATATTAAGTGAAGTAAAGTAGAGTATGTGGAGGGGTACATCCGGACTTGACAGACACTATAGATCAAAAAGTACACAAAAGTGTTAACAAGTAACAAGTGTAAAGACAGTGAAGCCTTAACAAAAGTCTTAAATAAATAGTATAAATGGTAAAAGTGATATGCATTAGAATTAAATCTAGTAAACAGATGTTGCTAATGAGAGTAGCTATAGATACAGAGAGCAAGCTTAAGGGGTCAGAACCTTCAAAATAAGAAAAAAAGTATAGACAATAAATAATAAAAACAAATGTAAAATAATTAATAATAACTAAAGACAGAGACAACAGGAAATATATACTTAAAGAAAAATGGTACTTATTAACTGTGTCATTGGGATCTATTTATGAATGAATGGAGTGAAATTGAACTCCTCATTCAGTCCCTTAGGATATAAAGTTTGAAACAGATAAATCCAGCGGGATTCGGCTTTCAAATGAGGAGTTCAATTTCACTCCATTCATTCATAAATAGATCCCAATGACACAGTTAATAAGTACCATTTTTCTTTAAGTATATATTTCCTGTTATTTTACATTTGTTTTTATTATTTATTGTCTATACTTTTTTTCTTATTTTGAAGGTTCTGACCCCTTAAGCTTGCTCTCTGTATCTATAGCTACTCTCATTAGCAACATCTGTTTACTAGATTTAATTCTAATGCATATCACTTTTACCATTTATACTATTTATTTAAGACTTTTGTTAAGGCTTCACTGTCTTTACACTTGTTACTTGTTAACACTTTTGTGTACTTTTTGATCTATAGTGTCTGTCAAGTCCGGATGTACCCCTCCACATACTCTACTTTACTTCACTTAATATCTTTAACTTCATGTGGATTGACTCTAGCATAGACATCCAATTATCACATTTTTTCAATCCGTGCCGGTTTTACCACTGATCAGTGGCCAACCGGCACCGATAGTTTTCTCCGCCCCCTCGTTTGTGATTGGTGTAACATAGACCAATCATTGTAGAGAGCGGCCTTTTTAAACGACCACCGGCGTTCAGCTCGGTTCCCTTGGAAGAGCCAGTGTGGCGAAACGCGCGTCGGGATTAGTGTAGTGAGCGGGTGGTTGGAGCCAGACTAGGGACTACGCTGCAGCAATTGTAACATTATGCTCCGTTTAGACTACCCTCTCCATTTTTCTAGCTACTAGACGAATACCTTTATTTTGCTATCCTCCTATTGAGGCTATTTTGTTATATGTTAATAGCTATTGTAGGCTTTAGATTATTGAGAGAAATTAGTTATAGGACTAGGCTGCTCACAGAGTTAGTTTTTCTTAACACTTTACTTCAATATTGCTACATTTGGATTCAGTTTGATCCACTAGGAATCCTCTCTCTCTCTGTGCCACTATTCTGCCTCGAGCTCTCTTTCTCTCCTATGTTGATTTATTATCTACTGTTAGGGATTTGTTTGTTCCCAACACTTAGTTATTGATTTTAGATGGTATTCTATTAAAAGTTATATTTTATATTATATTTTTTCTAATGGGTTGCTTTACATGTGTAGGGAACCTTTGGGACTGATTGATTTACTTAACCCTTAGGTGTCTCTACATCTGTTTTTGTTCTCTCCTCTAGCTTTGCATTAGTTACTAGGGGTTACCCCCCATGCTTCATTAGCAACCCGACTTTATACCCTGGTTCCTATTTCTCTTTTTAATTTCTATGCTATTCTTTAAAAGTTAGATATTTAAAAACAAATATAGATAGCTGCTCTATCAGCATGTTAACATAAGCTATTCAAATGGATAAGCCTTTCCAGTAAAGAGAACAATGTATAAATTACATAAACACATTAAATAAAAAACTGCATCCTATGCCTTTATCTACCTCAAGTCTTTTAGGGGTTAGATTATTCTAAATTAGATGGATATCTCAGTTAATTATTATCTAGAGCGAAATGAGAATTGCATTTTCATTGTCAAAGCAAACAAGTTGATAAACTTTAAATCTATAAATTTAGTATATTTCTGAGTGGGCTAAAGCTAATAGGTTCAAGGATCCCACTATTTCTTAATGTTCCAGTCCACGTGTCATGTAAATTATGGCAATTTCAGCTGCCTTGGTCATAGAAGTAGGTGTACCACGTAATCACTGCCACCAACATGCGACAGATGATTCTTTTGTTGTAGAAAGAATGTGAGGAATGTGTCATCATAATTTGGGAATCTGATATAAAATGATTTATTGGAATGGTTAACTTGCAACTGATGCTTTTTATGAGTCATTAGTGCTGCTGGTTATTTAAATTCATAACCTCCAGGTGACATTATGATAGTATGTTTTATTAGTGCTGGTAGTGGGCACTGTGAGATAATTGTGGAACTGAGATAAGTGTTTTGCTGTGAAAACATTTGCATATTTGACATGTGTTATGAAAAAAAGTATAAAATTCCATTTAAAACCAGAGTGTCACAAGTGATGTTTCAGCATAAACACACATAATTTAAAATAAATGGGATGAGAAACAGTGCAATAGCATTTTAGTGTCAGTTATGTTTATGATAGTCACCATTTATGTAAGTTTACTGAAATATCCAGTAACAATAGAAGAACGTATACATTACGCAATCTTAAAACTTCACAACACTATTTAAAATAAATTGCGTTTGAATTTTTTTAATTTTTTTTAATCGGCGCTTTTACATGTTTATTTATTTATTTTTAAACAGATTCTTTTTTTTGTCCTTATATTTCCTCTTTTTTTAATATAATTCTTTATTTTTGTTGTACATGTGCATAACAAAGGTTGCACAGTATACACGAAATAGGTAGCAAACATAGCGAGTGTACATAAACATCAGCACATATTTTTTATAAAAGGCATAAGACTAGAGGTATAGCGCATTTTAAAGAAGTCGCTGTTTAATGAGTGAGATAGGTTGTATGCACTAAGAGTAAGTAGATCGTAAGTAGATAGAGTAACAGGAAGTGAGAGTCATGTCGTAATCGTAATATGATTAACTAGCGGAGATGTCTGACTTCACTTGTGATAGTTAGTACGAGTTACGAAAATCAAACTAAAAATAACAACAAGCTTGATCATGCAGTTAGCACCAAAAAGATAGTTACCACTGGGTTAATATACGATGCCATAGCTTGTAGGCATAAAAGTTAAAGCATATTATCTGAGCAAAACAACTGCATCTATTGTACTACAAGCAGTGTGGGATTTTATATCTGCTATCTCTTATAAAGAACTTGCTATATAGGGCTGCAATTGCTGCAGTGATTATGTATATTGACTGGAGGGTGTTGCTTAAGAATTTAAATCAATTGAAAGTTAAGACAACAGGTCGAAACATAACAAATTAATAAACGACGTTAGGCATTTTCACGTATCGCATAAACTCTACTGGGTCGCAACAGAACATTCTTATTCAAGGCTTGGTTCACAGTCTACAAATATCTGCCAAGCCTGCCAAGCATAGGAGTTGAGTTCACCGGGTAGATTGGTGTTACAGCCAGTGGTGTATCCTGGTTTTGTGCTGCCCTAGGCATGACAAAACTCAGATACCCCTCCCAGGGCTGGATTAACATAGGGGCTAATGGAGCTGCAGCTCCAGGCCCAGGCCCATGGAATAGGCCCATTGATTTTGAAAAAAACAATTTTTTTTATTTTTTTTGTACATTTTTTTTTTTTTTTACACATTACTCTTAGGGTTGCCACCTGGCTGGTATTTTATGGTATTTGAGGCTGCCTGGCCAGTGCCAGTATTGCAGTAAAACCGGCAATACAAATGCCGGCATATTTCTATGTATAAACAGAGATTATGCTGCAATACCTGCACCGGCTAGTAGGGGTCACTGTGTGTGGAGAGAGGCAGGGATAGATCGTTACAGCATATCCCTGCCTCTCTCTACACACTGATCCATGGGGGAGCAGCTACACAGCACAGAGAGTCCAGCAGCTCCCAGCCT